GTGCTGTGCTGCTGAGCTAAATCCCCAGCCCAGAATTATACATTTAAATATAGTTAAAATGGAAAACTTTGTTTCACTTTTTTTTTTTTTTTTTTTTAGATAAAGTCTTGCTGTGTTCAGGGTGGGCTTGAGCTCACTATGTAGCCCAGGATGGCCTCAAACACACAGTGATCCTCCTGCCTCAGCCTCCCGAGAGCTAAGATTACAGGAGTGTACCACCACAGCCAGCTGTTTCATATATTTTATCAAAACTTTTAACATCAAGGCAAACTCTGCAGGGCAAAAGTGCTGTGAAAGGTAGAGCAAGTGCTGGCAAAACAAGTGCAGAAGCACTAGGGGCTCAGAAATTGATGTGGGTGCACCAGTGTCTACAGAGACATTCCTTTTACGTAGGCATAAGCAAAACCCAGATGTACAGATCAATCCTACCTCCAGCCCAACATCTATAATGCTTCTTCTAAGCTGCTGTGACAGGGGAAAAAAAAAAACTTAAACAAGCAGTACAATGACAATTATTCTTCGGTAGTAAATTCTTACAATTCTATGTTGCCTCAACACCCATTGTGAGTAGGAGCAGGACTTTCTCATGCAAGAAGGAGGGCTGACCCCTTGGCACTGATTCCAGTTCTGCCTTTCCTCCAGGTCCCCAAGGTGGCTGATACAGATAGCGGCCTTGCACACTGCCTAGGGGACCGCTCCCCTCTGGGACAGGGAGATACAGCCTACTTGGCTGGCCCCGCCCACCCCACATCCTGCGCTGACTATGCAGATACACTAAGGAGACCACAGAGTCATAGTGTGACCTTCTGGAACTCTTGCCTGCCTGCTGGAAAGCCAGTATTTAAAATTCCCCTTGAGAAATCTGCCCAGATAAATCCCTGAACCCACACCAGGGGATACCATGCAAATCTTTAAAAAAATAATAATGGGCCAGGAATATAGCTCAGTGGTACAGAGCCTGTCTGGCAAGCACGAGGTCCGGAGTTCAATTCCCAGTGCCAGAAAAAGAGAGAATACGTAAGCGTTTAAAAAACAACAACAAGGGGCTGGGGATTTAGCTCAGCGGCAAAGCGCCTGCCTGGCAAGCGCAAGGTCGTGAATTCGGTTCCCGGTACCGGAGAAAAACCAAAAAATAAAAATAAAAACAACAACAACAACAAGCTTTCTAACTAAAATAAGCAGTGGGGTGCAGAACAGGGTACAGAGTTCAGTGATAACTGCCTGGGGAGGAGAGAGGAAAGGGCATAGGAGTGCACAGACACAATGTAGTTGCTTCTCTCTGCGAAAAGCTACACTAATGCCTGTGGCTCCCAAACTCGCCTGCACACTGGAATCACTTGAGGATCTTCAAAAACTCTACTCCCAGGGACTTAGTTTCTAGCTGGTCTGGGCTACCACCTTGGCTGTGGAACTTTTAAAAGAACTCAGCAAAAGGGTGGGGAAAAGATCTCCAGATGATTACAATGGCAAACAAGTTTGGGAACCACCACCACAATACAAAAGTAACAATAAAAAGTTTTTTGGTTCCTATTGAAGAGAGTGGATGCAAAAGAAATAGGTAATAGACATTCATTGTATAGATTTTTTTGGTCTTTGCTTGTTTGTTTTTGTCTTTTTGAGACAGGGTTTTACTATGCAGTTCAGGCTGACCTTGAACTCACCTTGTAGCCCAGGTTAGCCTCAAACTCACATCGATCCTCCTGCCTCAGCCTCCCCATTGCTGGTATTATAGGCATGTGCCACCATGAGTGGCCTCATTGTATAGTTTTAATATGATATCAATTGTAGAATCACAGTCGGGCATGGTTGTGCACACCTGTAATCCCAGCACTCAGGAGACTGAGACAGGAGGATTGCTGTGAGTTTCAGCCCAGTCTGGGCTACACAGTGAGTTCAAGGCCAGCCTGAATTACATAGTGAGATCCTGTCTCAAAAAAGAAAAAAAGTTGTAGAATCAAGTGAATTAACTAGTCAAAAACTAAGTAAAATAATAATATATGTGAAAAAAATCAAATAATTGCTTTTACCATGTTCCCTTTTATAACATTGTTCTTACCCAGGGTGTAGAACTGCTGTTACAACTGACATCAAAATAAATCCGTAGTTGGGCCCTGAGACACAGTCCGGTAATCCCAGTACTCTGGGAGGCTGGAGCGGGATGATCACAAGTTTGAGTCTAACGTGGACAATGCAGTGATTTAATGAGGTCCTATCTCAAATTTTTTAAGAAGGCTTGGGCTCAGTGCAAAAGCCCTCGGTTCAGTCCCAAGTACACCCCCTCAAAACTATTAACGATACCTTAGAAAAATTCATACTTTCATGTTTCTTCTCCTTTGGTGAAAAGCTATACCTCACTTAGATGCAGTTAGGATGTGGCTGCCAATTACCTGTCTTTATACACCCAGCAGGAAAGTTTATCACGAGGGGTGGGTGGTTGTCCTTCAAAGTTGGTGATTTTTTCCCAAACATAGGTTCCGTCTCTTGTTCGTAAATTAACGAAATAAAGCTTTTAAAAGATGAAAATACTATTAGCAGACAGTGCATTTGAAAATTAAATTTACATCAGGGGGATTTGTAATCCAAAAATTAATGATCACTTTATCATTCTTAATAGATAAAATTTCTACCTATTAGAAATTTAAACTTACAGAATTAATGAAAACAAGATGCTACTGAAGACATACCGAGGTGCATTCATCTCTTCCCCCATGGATACCAACTATGGAGCTAATTCTGAAGCAGAGGACACAGAAGGAGAGCAAGACTATTGCATTTTCCATCTATCTTTAAAGCCCTCTAATTATAAGCTACATTTCCTACACTTATCTTCTTTAAAACTATTCATAAACCTGACAGTTGAAAAGACACATTAATGCCACATTTTGCTGCACTCCTTAAAGAAAAGAAAGTATTACTCGGTTGCTGTATCCTTTGTCATCATAGCCTCCAAACACGTACAGCTTCCCGTGAACGCAAGCGCCGCAGCTTCCGGACATGGAGGTGGGGAGCTCTCCTTCCATCAGGTGCATCCTCCTGCAGCAAGAACCATATGCATTCCTTCATTCTCCACAAATTTCACCGCCAATTACAACTACAATACAATGGTGGCCAACACGTAAACACTCTAAGATGAAACAGAGGAAAGACTTCAACTTGCTATGGAAAACAGTCACAAAATTTTCATACATGATCATCAGAACTAGGACTCACAGAATAAAACAAAGTCTTCAAAACATTGGTCCTGACAGGATTAGTAAAGGACGAAGAACAGAGAGGGAGCTGGGGAGGTTGAGGCAGGAGGACTGCCATGAGTTCAAGGCCAGTCTGGGCTACATAGAGACCCTGTCTCAAAAAAAATTAGGAAACAGAAAAAACAGAATGGAGAAGAAAGGTAAAGAGACACAGAATATGACACAAAGAAAAGGAGAGGGAGAGAACATAAATGTTACAGTATCTTCTCAGCACAGTCTCAAACTCCCTGCAGCCTATGAGAACACTATTAGACATTAAGACTGAACTCTGTGCAATTTAAAATTACTTACCACAACCCACTATCAATATCATAGGTCCAAATTTCATCATTAGGCAAATACACTTCATTGTCTTCAATAGACTAAAAATATAGAACACATAAAATTATATTCATCAATTATATAGTCACAATTGTCTCCTCAGGATTATAAAAACTGCAATTAAAATACTACAAAGGAAATCAGGCTCCAAGATTATTTTCAATATAAAATAAGATAGTTCAAAAATAAATAAATAAAAAAAAAAAAGATAGTTCAAAAGACAGAATGGGAAAACAATAAAGGTTTAGGATATAAAATGGTAAGTATGTGAAACTCATGAAAAGGACCACAGTAGTTAAACTTTCAAAAGGGATTCTGAGTAAGGGAAGTATAGCAAAACAAGATTTACAGCAGCATCCTGACGGTTATAAAGCCAAGAAAAAGATGTGCACAGAGGATTGCCAGCAGTCTGAAGCCTCTGTGGGCACACAGAGCCCAAAGCCAGCCTGAACTACATAGAGAGACTCTGTCTCAAAAAATCAAAACAAACAAAGCCGAGAAGAAAAGGAATACGAAAAAATGGCAGTACATTTTGGGTGAAGGAATGAAGGAAAGAAATTTTTTAAAAATATAATTAAGAGCACTGTATCAGTATCTTTGTTCACTGAACTTTTTTTTTTTTTTTTTTGAGACAGGGTCTTGCTATGTAGTTCAGGTTGACCTTGAACTCACTAGATGGCCCAGGATGGCCTCAAACTTGTAGCAATCCTCCTGTCTCAGCCTCCTGAGTGTTGAAATTACAGGTGTGCAACACCATGCCTGGCTTGAACATAATTTTTTGAGCGCCTACTATGTGCAAGGCATAGTACTAGATGTTTAAGTCTAGCAGCTAAAGATTAGTCAAAGTGATAATTCAGAATTTGAAAATCTCTAAAGAAGCCAAAAAACATAAAGAATATATTCTGACATTTATGATGGAAAGAGAAATAACAATAGTATAATAATCTTATTTAAATTTTTAAAAAACTTAGTGGGGGAGCTGGGTGTGGTGGCACATGCCTGTGATCTCAGCACTCAGGAAGCTGAGGCAGGAGGATTGTTGCAAATTCGAGACCAGCCAGGGCTACAAAGTGAGCTCAAGGACAACCTGAATTGCATAGAGAGACCCTGTCTGAAAAAGACAAAAAAACAAACAAACAAACAAACAAACAAACAAAAAAAAACCCTGAAGAACTTAGTGGGAAAGGGAAAAAGCTTAGCAGTAGAACATTTGCCCGGTATGTGCAAGGCCCTGGGTTTGAGCCCCAATACTATACCTCCTCCCCCAACTAAAGCCTTCAGGGGTTAAAACAATCCTTATATAATGCTGTGATTTATTCTAATCTGCAGAACAGTTTAAGATAGGTAGTTTTAAAATAGCACTTTTAAGGCACTAAAAATAATTTTTAAAAGCAAAATAAAATAGCCTAAGAATTCTAAAACTATATGATGTGTAAATAACATTCTTAGTAGATTTAGCTGTTTGTCATTGCTGTAGCTTTAAAATTTGGGTAAATTTAAAAAATAATATCTTGACTACCAGGTCCTCCCTCCCTCCC